TTGCAAACATGAGTGAGAACTAGAAGAGCTCTGGTTACACTTTTCTTTAAAAGTCTATTCTGGTCTATTCGGACCAGAGACTTGGTCATCCAACTACTTAGTTATTTTTGGAGTGTAGGTACAGAGGCTCTGGTTGGTAAGAGCAGAGGCTCTGGCCAACCAAAGGGACTGGTTTAATAAGAGAACTATGTCCATAAGAGACAGAGGAGCTTTGGTCCTTAGAGGAGCGCTGGTCCTTAAGAGCTCGGTGAGGTGAGCTCTGACCAGTTAAGCCAGAGGAGTTTTGCGGCTCTGTATTTTATATTTGATGCAGATTTTAGGGAGTATGTATTCGTGTTTTAGAAGATGTTTTAATACATTTTGGTGATCCTCACCCTGTAATTGCAAAGAAAGGGTTATCTTACTAGACCTTCTGGTCAAACTCTCATTTTGTGTTTTAAATATGCATTGCAGAATCAGCAGGGTCTCGGGATATTAAGAGGAATGGGGAAAATATGATTATTTTCCTTATATGCTTATCTGTTGTTTTTGAAGATCAATTTGAATATTGATGTCTTTTGAAGATACATGTTGACATACATGTGATAGTACAGGGATATTCTTTTGGAATTTTTTAGTTGTAGATTCTGTACATATAGAATCCTTGTACTAGTGGGAGCTATGTGGTGAAATTTGTAATTCTTTTAAATGAAATATATGTTATATGCAAATGTGAAGTATGGGGTGTCACAGCTTTGGACCATGTCTAGAAGATTCCGTGAATGATCCTTGGGTTAATATCCATTTTGTACTTGTCATGATTAGCTTAGGTACCTTAAAGTACTTTGTCTTTGACTTTTGTAATCTTTGGCCCAAAGTTTCAGGTTTTGTATTTTCCCCTCTCTTTTAATATAAATAGGGGATTTTGTATAAATAGTGGAGGTTAGGTCTTTCGTAAGTGTGCAATGATTTCTATTTAAATTCAAGTTAGTTCTCAAGTTCCTTTAAATATTGTCCTTTACATTCCTTTGCTGCAACATTACATTCTTGTGTTTACTTTATTTATATTCCTTGCAATTTAATTTTTGCACTTCACTTTCGATCATTTAATTTCTGTTATTTACATTCATGTACTTACTTTTTGTCTTTTATATTTCTTGCAATTTACTTTCCGTGATAAGTAGCTAATTTTATTAGTTTGGGTGTGAGACAAAGGTGAGATTTTAAACCAAATGGAAGTGGAAGTTGTTTCGCAGTAACAAAGTTCCACTATTTTCATTCAAGTTTTATAAAAACAATTACACTTCTTGACAATCAATATGAATGATATGGGAATCGCTCAAGAGGGTGATTTTTAACAAAGAGATTTGCTTATCCATATATTTTGAGGACATCATTTGGCACTATCCCTCGTCCTGATACCACATAGAGATATGAGTTGAAAGCTATAATATAGTGTAATGGCGGAAGTCCGAGAGGAATACCCTCAAAATAGATGGTGGAACTAGTTATGGCCGATTGCTTGTTGCATCCCTACAACATTGTCTGCTGAAGTTTGTGCTTATGTCTCACCACAAGTTTTACACCCATGCTACCTTTATTTATTTTGTTAGTTGCAACTGTTAACTCAACAACCAATCAAAGTCTTCAAAATTGCCATCTACAACCATTTCTTTTATTAAGCTTTTACTACGATCCATGTGGAAGATACTCGGTATTCTATACCACTTTATTACTTGAAAGACAATATTGGGACTAATTATATACTTGTTTTTGGTCCTATTACTAAGTCTGTGGGTGTGTAAAAGCTACTGTCAACCTCTTCTTCCTGAAGCCTAAGTTCGTCTTAAAGCCTTCAACATCTTTGTGTTTCCAGTCCAACCTCCATAGGGAAGATGTTTTTCTTTGGCAATGTAGATTAGGACATCCTATGTACATGAAAAAACTATTTCCTAGATTGATCAATAAAAATTTAGTTTCATGTTAATGTGAAGCTTGTTAACTATCAAAACACACTCGTACTTCTTATCCACTCCAACCATACAAAGCATCACATCCTTTCTCTTTAACCCATAGTGACGTTTAGGGACCATCTAGGATAAAAAAATTCTCTGGAAGTAGATGGTTTGTCACGTTCATTGATGATCACACCCATGTCACTTGGATTTCTCATGAAAGACAAATCCGAAGTGAGAAATATATTTCAAGCATTCTATAAGATGATCGAAACCCAATTTTGCACAAAGATCCAGATCTTAACAAATAATGAAACCGAAATCTTTGAGGCAAACCTAGGATCCTATCTTAAAGATAATAGAATCATTCACCTCAGCTCGTGTGTCAGCACAACATGACAAAATGGAATTGCCGAGAGAAAGAAAAGACATATCCTAGAAGTTTCCCGCTCACTTATCTTTACTACTAGTCCGGAGATGACATATTATCATCGGCATATCTAATAAACTGCATGCCATATAGAGTATTAAACTATACAACACCTCTCCAAACAATCATGCCTACTTATCCTCACATTTGCTTCCTATCAAATAATTCCTTTTAAAGTATTCGGATGCACAATCTTCCTTCATGTACCACCACAAAACCATAGCAAACTCGATCCCAAACCTCTCAAATATATCTTTCTAGGCTACTCCAGTTGTCAAAAAAGGGTACAAGTGTTACTCGCCTTCCATAAAGAAGGTATATAACTCTATGGATTTCAATTTCTTTGAAAATCAACCATTTTCAACCAAAGCTGAGATTCAGGGGGGAGATGTGTTTGGGAAATGTCATATTTGGTAACAAATTTTACCGTCTTATCCTAGTCACTCTAATCCGCTGCAAAACACATCTGGCCATCCATGTTCCATCCATACTCTGGTTCTACAGCTTCAGCTTGTCAAATGTTACTAAGATTCCATTTCTCCTAACACCTAATCCTTACAACCTACTATCCCTAGTGAAACACCCACTCCAACAACCCAGAAAGAAACCTTGGTATACTCAAGATGATAGAAAGGTGAAGAGAGAGAAGAGGTTGGTAGGACATACTACCAGGAGACTAACCCGAGATTTGAGTCTAATGATCTGGATGTGCCTATTGCTCTAAAGATAGGGAAAAGGTTATGCACAACTAATCCCATCAGCAACTTTTGTGACTCATAAACGTTTGTCATCTACACATAGTGCTCCTGTAGCATCGTTAGACTCCATAACGATTCCAAAAGATATACAAGAGGATCTTAATCATCCTGAGCAGAAGTCTGCTGTCAGTGAGGAGCTGAATGCACATGAAAAGAACAACACAAGGGAATATTCGATATTGCCCTTCGGCAAGCAAGCAGTGGCGTGCAAGTGGGTGTTAAAGGTGAAGTATAAAATACGTTCAAGGCAAGGTTGGTAGCTAGGGGTTTTACCCAATCCTGTGGAGTAGACTATGGGGAAACATTTGTGCTCGTAGCCAAACTTAATTCAATTCGAGTCTTACTTTCACTTGCGACCAAGTTAGATTGCCCATTGCATCAACTTGACATAAAAAATGTGTTCCTTAATGGGGAACTTGAAGATGAGGTGTACATGGATGTGCCACCAGGAATCAACTCAAAAGATTCATTTAGCAAGGTATGCAGACTAAAAAGGTCATTCTATGGGCTTAAACAAACACCAAGGGGATGGTTTGAAAGACTGACCCAGGTAGTGAAGAAACATGGGTTCACTCAATGTAAAACCGATCAGACAATGTTCTTCAAGGATTCTTTGACCGGAGCAAGAACTATAATGATTGTTTATGTAGATAGTATCATCTTAACATGTGATTACGCTAAAGAAATAAGTCATCTTAAAGATAATCTTGCACGAGAGTTTGAAAATACTTCCTAGGCATGGAAGTGGTAAGATCTTGCAAAGGTATTTTTATAACTGAAAGAAAATATACCATTGATCTGTTGAAGTAAACAAGAATGTTGGGACTTAAGCCAGCTACAACCCCCATGGATTGGGAAAACATCAAGGTATGGATGGAAAGATAACTGATAAGGATAGCTACCAAAATTTGGTTAAAAAACTTGTATACCTGGCCATACGAGATCATATATAAGTTTTGTTGTGGGAATAGTAAGTTGTTTTATGAATTAGCCTACAAAAGATCATCATGAAGAAGTATTTCGTATTCTACAATATCTAAAGCAAAGTCCAGGGAAGGAACTGTTTTTTAGGAAAACAAACGGCAGATTGTTAAAGATGTACACAGATGCAAATTTGGGGGGGTCATCACGTATTGACGAAACCTGGAGAAGCAAAAAGCAAGTTTTCTGCCGAAGTAGTGCAGAAGCAGAGTTTAGAGCAATGTATAATGGAATATGTGAAGGCATTTGGTTGAAATGGGTGCTAACCTAGTTAAAACTTACTCCTGTTGATGTTGATCCAATAGAGTCGTGAAGTGACAAAGGCGGAAATTGAGATTGCAAACACTCACATACATCATGAAAGGACCAATCATGTGGTGTTAGACCGACATTTCATCAAAGAGAAGTTAGAAGAAGTTGAGCCTCTGCTAGAGTTCGTATCACAGAAGCAGCAAATATCAGACATCCTTACCAAGGAACTGCCCAAATAGAATTTTGAAGAATTACGATCCAAGTTGGGTATAATTGACATTCACAACGCAGTTTGAGAGGGAATGCTGAATCCGATCAGGTCAGCTATGTCACGATAGGAGGTTATGTGCTTTGTGTTTATCTGGTTGTTGTAGATAACTTAGACGTCTTATTACTTCCTAGATTTGTGGAAGTTAGTTTTTATTTATTTGTAAATATTGCTGCCTCCTGTATCTCAAAGGGATTACAAAAGAAGGAAATCAAAAACTTGGTTTTCTATCCATGTCAAATAGGGAAGGAATGCACCCTAAATCAATATTATGATAAAAAATAGAACACATATCTAAAAGCAAGAAATGTGATAGGAACATATTTGGTACATATGTTGATTCAAAAGTTGATGAGAGAAGTTATACAAGGCCTTACGAAGTTGAGTTAACAAGTTGTACCACTCTTTTCTTGTATGTACGACATTGTAGCACCAAGTCTACAACCACCTCTTGTCGAAGCCCCTGATTCCAACATGTAACGAGAATTCAAATTAAAGATGTGCATACACACTATGAAGGAGTATTAAGAAAACAATAAGTTCATGGGGAGTAAGTTATTGTAAAGGTGTAAACCATGGAGAAAAAGAGTATGGTCCAGAAGTACACAATCCGTAAACTCAATGCAAATAAGATATGCATATAGATGATTCCAACTTAATTTGACCCATAAAACAAATTATGTGTACATGAATCTAACAAAACTGATAGGGCAAATCTATAGCAACAACAGAATTTAATAACAAATTCGCTACAATTACTTATATGGGAAAAAGATACGAGTCAACACACATTTTTTCTCCTCATGACTACATTCTCTTTACATAAAGAAAATTGGTGAGCTTAGTGGTAACTTTGGTGCTTGCCATAGATTCACTGCAATAGAAATAACTTGCTTCTTATTATTCCAATTGAAAAACTTTACCTCTTTCCTCGTTGGATCAACCGCAATTAGCATTTCTGCAAGGACATCTATGATACCACGTACATTATGGATTTCTGTCATGCTAAAAAGAAAAAAACAATTAAACACTCAATGAGCAGTGCTAACCATGACAATGTGAATCTAAGCAGTCTTGTATTAGATTGTTTGTAACCATGAAGATGATATGCATGGTTGGCAAATTCTTAGATTTTTCTACTAACATGTGCTAGTTGAGGAAGACAACAGAGGAAACTCATAAGAGGCCATATAGTTAAATATCCATGGTTGATTTTAGTAACTACTAAAAACTACCAACAAAGAAAATGGATAAAAAAAACATGTAACAAACAACTAGTCCTTAAAGCAAAAAATAAAAGGAGAAGATACGTATCTAATGTAACCGTTGGGACAGTAGTCGAACAACCAACAGTTCTACTAATGACGGTGCTAATCACCGCAATTAGGCCCGCAATTTTGATTTGCAATAACGGTGTGAAAACCACAATTAAGAGTTGCGCTTTCAGTTGGCCTTTTAAAGGGTTTAGAGAAGTCGGTTAAAGGATTACGAGCTAGGGAGCTGATTTTGATTTGCATTATTGGTGTGTAAACTCGCTATTCCTCTCTCATCTCTTCTATTCTAGTCTACTAATTTGCATCTTCTCTTCACAACAACATTGCCTTCCACCATCCATTGCACCTTTCAAATTTCCCAAATGTTGAAATGCATTAAAAGTTGCAAATAGAAGTTACAAAGTACTTATAGAATGAACAATAGCTTTGAGTGGATATAGGATAGTGTTAATAAGAGTGACTTTGTTTATAGTTCATTATGCAAACTATAAATAGTTTTATCTATAATATAATATCCTTGTAACTGAAACTTCAAGGGTAATTACATGCTTAAAATGAAGTAAATGTGTATAGATTATTTTTCCTCAGTCATGTGATCAAGTGAATACATGTTATATTGTGATGAATTTGATAAGAACTGAATCCACCCCTGGGGTTAGGACCCGAGAAGTGCCTGATTTCGAGAACAGGTAGTCTCCACAAAAGTCAAAGACTCTCTTAATTGATTGAATGAATATACAAGAACAATGGAGCACCATATTTATAGAGTCCCGCTAACAAGGAAACCTAAACCAAAAAGGGAACTTCTAAAAAAAAAGAAATTATTCTGCCCATAAAAGAAATAACCGAAATGCTTAAAATATGAGATTATCTTCCATTCTTAACCTTGTTGCCTTAATTGTCTCCTCTGGTAAACTTGACCATATCGTCCAAGTATATCATTACTTCCCCGCCAAACTACCACCTTGTCCTCAAGGTGGAAATCAGGGAACTGGCGATTGATAGCTTCGAACGGTTCCCAAGTTGCCTCCTACGCAGGCAAGTCCGTCCAACGTACCAAGACTTCTTGCCCCCCAATTCCGTCACGAACTCCTTCCACCCGATCCGGCTGTAATAGAACTTCCATCTCTTCTGTTAGTGTAGCTGGTAGTTGGGGCGCCACCACTCGGTTGCCTATGGCCTTCCGCAATTGAGACACATGGAACACATCATGGATTCGGGCGGATGCTGGTAACTTCAAGAGGTATGCAACCTTACCAAGTTTTCCAGAACCTCAAAAGGTCCAAAAGACCGCGGGGACAACTTTTCATTTCGGTGTCTAGCTACTGAACGCCGGCGGTACGGTTTCAGCTTTAAATAAGCCCAATCCCCTACTGCAAATTGAGCATCACGCCTATGCTCATCAGCCCGTTCTTCATCAGTTGTTATGCGCGAAACAAATAGCCTCACAACTCCTGCAAGACTTGATCACGTTCTAGTAAATATTGGTCAACCATACTAACTGGAGTTGGCACACTTCCATAATGCAACAGATGGGGTGGGTCACGACCATATAACATGTAGAAAGGGGTTGTTTTGGTGGACGTATGGAAACATGTATTGTACCAATACCCAACCCAAGGAAGCCACGTGACCCATTTTTTTGGTGTATCTGCAACAAAACAAAGTAAGTAAGTTTCAACACATCGGTTGACCACCTTAGTCTGTCCATCCGTCTGTGGGTGGTACGCCGTACTCCTCTTGAGTCTAGTGCCCAATAATCTGAATAGTTCCTTCCAGAAATTACTCAAGAAGACTTTGTCTCCATCTGAAACAATTGACTCAGGTACGCCGTGCAACCTGACCACCTCCTTGATGAAAATTGTTGCCACCATCGGTGCCGTGTAAGGGTGTTTTAGAGGAATGAAACGAGCATAGTTGCTAAGCCTATCCACCACAACAAAGATGACTGTGAACCCCTCCGAGCGGGGCAACCCGTCGATAAAATCCATGGTCAATTCTGACCACACTGTTGTGGGTAAGGCCAACGGCTATAGTAATCCACTAGGCGCCATAGTTGAGTATTTCTGTCGCTGGCATACGTCACATTCGGCTACAAATCTAGCGACATCGCCTTTCATGCCCACCCAATATACCTCACGGGTCATCTGCTGATACGTCTTTTGCACACCAGAGTGACCGCCAATCACGCTGCTATGGAACTCGCGACAAAACACTGGAATCCACCCCGAACTTTTCGGTAACAATAGCCGACCTTTAAACAGGAGATTCCCACCTTCAACGGAGTATCGCTCCAGAATCGACTCACCCTCGGCAATTTTACGTTTCAGACTTGGAATTTCCGCATCGTCCTTTATATCTCTCTTTAACCCATTCCAGTCAACTTTCCACGAAGCGGTCAACACGGTTAGTTGTGCCTCGGCTGGTTTGCGTGAAAGAGCATCTGCCGCACTATTTTCCTTGCCAGGATGGTACACGATGTCAAAATTGTACCCTAAGAGTTTACACAACCACTTCTGGTGTTCTTTGGTAACCGTGCGCTGTTTGAGAAGGTATTTAAGGCTGCGTTGGTCTGTTTTCACTAAAAATTTGCGACCCAATAAGTACAGTCTCCATTTCTGAATTGCCATTACGATCGCCATCAACTCCCTCTCATAAACCGATTTCAGTCGTGCGCGGGTTCCCAAAACATGGCTGAAAAATGCTAACGGTTGCCCCTCTTGCATTAACACAACACCCAACCCAAAACCCGATGCATCCGTTTCGACAACGAATTCTTTGTCAAAATCGGGTAAAGCCAACACAGGCACTTGGGTCATAACGGACTGGAGTTGATGGAATGCCTTTGTCGCTTCATCATTCCAATGAAAGTTATCTTTTTTGAGTTGGTCGGTTAGAGGCCATGCAATTTTACCATAATATTTTACGAACTTGCGGTAATATCCCGTCAAGCCGAGAAACCCACGAAGTTCCTGAAGCGTTTTTGGTATGGACCATTGCAGCATTACTTCGATTTTAGACGGGTCTGCCAAAACCCCCTCTTTGGACACGATGTGTCCTAAATACTCCACTTGTTGTTGCCAAAAAGTGCATTTTTTCCGATTTACGTATAACTAGTTTTCTTGTAGTACACGCAAGGCTGTTTCGAGATGTTCTAGATGCTCGTTTTCGGTTTTTCTATAAATCAAAATGTCATAAAAAACACCAGTATAAAGCATCTTAAAAAAAGTCCGAACACCTTATTCATCAAAGATTGGAAAGTGGCCGGTGCGTTGGTTAAGCCGAAGGACATAACCCGGAATTCATAAAGGCCCTCATGTGTTTAGAAGGCTGTTTTAGGAATGTCGCTAGTTTTCATTCTAATTTGATGGTACCCAGTTCTCAGATCGAGTTTAGAAAATACAGTAGCTCTGTGTAGTTCATCTAAAAGTTCGTCTATTACTGGTATGGGAAACTTATCGAGAATCGTGGCTTTGTTGAGGACCCGATAGTCCACACAAAATCTCCAACTCCCGTCTTTCTTTTTGACCAGGAGAACGGGACTTGAGAATGGGCTGGTAGTTGGTTGAATCACACCCGCATCCAGCATTTCTCTCACCAATCTTTCATTTCATCCTTCTGGATATGCGGATAACAGTAAGGTCGGACGCTAATCGGAACGGTATCGGCCCGAAGAGTTATAGCGTGCTCATCACTGCGGGGTGGGGGCAACCCTTTTGGCAACTCAAAAATATCACCAAAAGCCTTGAGTAAGGACTCAACAGGCGTGGGTATTGGAGGGAGTGAAGTTGTTTTATTTTCTTGAACGTTCAAATGTAACAAATATATTAACTCGCCTTTCTCCGTCCCAAAACTGCATCCTAAGTTCCCGCCAGTTAACTGTCATGTCGCCCAGTTTCTGTAACCATGTGATTCCCAGAATTAAATCGGAACCGCCAAGGTCGAGTGGAAAGAAATCCTCCACTATCTGCAGCTCTGGTGAGTTCAGAACCACCTTGTGACACATTCCTCGACTTCGATCCACCATGCCATTCCCCAGTCGTACCTTAACTGAACCTGTTTGTGAGATTTTCATACCTAGCCTTGCCACTACGTGATTGGAGATGAAGTTGTGAGTAGCCCCACTATCGATTAACACCGTCACCTGTGTTCCTCCGATATCCCCATTCACTTTCATGGTGTGTGGCGGGGTTAAGCCACTAACCGAATTAAGCGACACCTCCACAGAATCCAAGTGAGCATGACCATCTCCCACCTCGTCGGATTTACTATGAGTGTCTTCCTCGTCAACGATCAGTACCTGCAAAGTTTTGCTCGGCATCGATGTCCCGGTGTGAATTTCCCATCGCACCTAAAACAAAGACCCTTAGCACGCTTATCCGCAAACTCCGCCTCTGTCAGCCTTTTAAATTGGCCGGTGTTAATCGTGGTACCTTCCTTCTTGCCGGTTGTCACTACCGGTGTTACCGTGTTGCTTGCTTTGAATTGGTTGAAGCCTCCGGTACGTGCCTTAGGGGTCACATTACCCTTGTTCTCATCGATAATCACAGTCGCCCTCATTTCCCTGGCGAGGCTCTCGGGTTCCATCACTCTCATCGCTGATCTCAAGTCCGACTTCAATCCCTTGATAAACGTACCCTCTAATACTTGCTCCGGAAGATCAAGTATCTGGTCGGCTAGCTTCTCGAACTCGCTCACATAGTCACGAGCCGTCCCCACCTGATGAATAGCAAGAAATTGCTCGTAAAGACTTCCCTCATAAAATGGTTGAAAACGAACCAAAAGCTTCTGTTATAGCTTTTCCCATGAACGACAAGGTGACCTTGCTTCCACCCAACGGTACCATGCGAGTGTTGGCCCGTCCATGCACAGGGCAGCCACTCTCAACCGGTCCTTCCCTTCGATTCCTTGCACTTCAAAGTACCGTTCAATATGATAAATCCACCCATACGCATCGTCACCCTCAAAGATCGGTATCTTGATCTTGCGACAATCGCACAATGGGTCCCTGTTTTTCACCCCCGAATTGTTCTTCTTAGACCCCACCGACTCATCGTCATCATCAGCCGAAAAGTCTGAATCACTCGTCGGTTCCTTCTTCTTATTGTTCTTCCTTCTTGGGTCTCCCTTCAATCGCTAATTGCTTTCAGGATCTCCTGAAATTGCATAGCGATTTCGGTATGGCTGACCTCTGTCTCCTTCCGCACCCTAGCCACCTCGGTCTCAAGAAGGCCGATCCGATCAGTGTTGTTGAGTTTCGAACCCATCTCGCAGACCCGAACTAGCGTCGCAAGCAGTAGTGTGAATAGTGTCGCGTGAACAGTACCCAATGACGATATTGGTGCTAGAATCGTCGTTTTGATACCAATTGATAAGAACCGAATCCAACCCTGGGGTTAGGACCCGAGAAGTGCCTGATTTCGAGAACAAGTAGTCTTCACAAAAGTCAAAGACTCTCTTAATTGATTGAATGAATATACAAGAACAATGGAGCACCATATTTATAGAGTCCTGTTAACAAGGAAACCTAAACCAAAAAGGAAACTTCTAAAAAAAGAAATTATTCTGCCCATAAAAGAAATAACTGAAATGCTTAAAATAGGAGATTATCTTTAATTCTTAACCTTGTTGCCTTAATTGTCTCCTCTGGTAAACTTGACCATATCGTCCAGGTATATCAGAATTGGACTCACTTGATGGTCATGTTATGTACAGGGACAAATGAAGCATTTAAATCAACGATCATGTTATGTACAGGGACAAATGAAGCATTTAAATCAAAGCACCATGGAATGCACTATGTTATAGAAGATTGGAAGCATTTCTACAAACCACTAAAGGACAAGGTATGTATTTTAATATCATGACCATATTTTCACATACACAAGATCTTTCATGGGCCACGTGCAGAACACCTGCCTTTATCATGAATTTCATCAAATCCATCCTCCATGTTTATCAAATCCTTCATCGTGCCCCAGATCGGGTTGGTTTGTTCACAAGTGAAAAACATATGAGAATACGTTGTTAAGAACCATATCTCAAGTTTCCTAGAATTGTAAGTATTACAAAAGGAGTGGATAAAGATGATAATGATAGTCATATGATAAGAGCGGAGTACATGAAAATGCAACAAGCTTCATGAGTTTTTCTACATCAAAAAAGTGAGAAGTCATATGGTAAGTCTTATTTGATAGGGGTGATACCTATTATGATTCATGAGACAATTTTAGGTAACCAAAACAAAACATTTGCACAAGATGAGTGTAGTAGAAAATGGACGTAAAGTTGGATCTTTGACCACATACTAAGAGATGGAGTTGGAAATGATAATATAAATAAGGCTGTGGTGGCACATAATGAGAAGAAGCTGAAGTCGAACAACCTAATATCTTTGTTGAACTCCAAAATGTCAATTTAAACACATAAATTGGAATATAAGACAGGATGTAAGATGTTTCACTACTTGACATGGAGGAAGGAATTGAAGATATATTTGATTCTAGGATATATGAAAAAGAGTTGCCCTATGGAAGGATCAGATCCATTTCTCAAGATTTTAGCGGGTTTTTGGCCTTTCAAAGTTAATGTTTGATGTTACTTCTGGCCTAACCAACTAATTTGGGAGAAAAGGTTGGTTGATATTAAGGTTTTTAAGGAAAATAGTTCTTAAAATGACATAAAATCCATAATATACAAGTATATAACCAATATACCTGCCAAAGACCCATATCATCCACCCTAACAAGTGCAAGATTTTCAACATGGTTGCTAAGCTTGTAGGTCTTTTATGAGGGAGTTTCTACAGGTAACGACGTCTGATGCAATACAACAAAAATGCAACTTCATGACCCGATTGGAACACCTGAAGGCCCGCAAACCCTTCTGCTAACCCAAAAAATATCGCTACTGCCGATTTGAACAGAACAATACATTTGTGTAATTTGCCTTCTAAAGAAAACTCAAGTTTATGTCTTGTGCCCCACATGTTTTTAGCCAAATTCCATCATTTCAGGGGTTAAATCGTCATTTTTCGGTTTTTTCCTATTCTTTTTCGAAGTTTTGGTTTTTTTCCTTTCTAATTATTGTTTCCTTATTTTCCTAGGATTCCCGGTATTTAAATAGGATATTATGGATTGATTTAGGGCTTTGATGTTTTATTAATAAAGTTGAGTTTTCTAAACTGATTCGTTATTATGTCGAATCAACGAAACTGTAAATCGGGCTTAAGTTATTTCTCACTCACACTGCATTACTTTAGAAAACAAATAATAATAGATTCAACAGTGTCATTGACATAAACCAAGAGTCTCTAGCCACCACATCATGTATACAAAAAATCTTCCAATATGATATCTCATTCTAAATGTGTGCACTTTTATTAATATAATTGTATTGTTTCTTATAGATGGCCCCTACCATACCTTGTGCAAATTTAATGATTATATAAAGTTTTTATCAAATGGTCAAGATCCAAGTGTAACAAACAATCAGGAAATGGCAATTTTGAAATATTAGGTATGATACCTCAAGTTTGAAACCTCAGCGTCTGCAGAAGATTCAACTGCATCATTCCCATTTTGTGGATTACGCATAAGAGGTTGTGTTTGTAGAGGTGTAAACACAGGCGGTGATCTCTCAGTTCTTTTAGGAAATAATACTCCTAGATGCTATAAAAATTTATGAAGTAAGAATTAAGATACAGAAAAATATTTACCTATCTTCCACTAGTACAGAATGGGGAATTTTACCCGGTTGAAGTATACGTTTTTACAACCGTATAGAAGGCCACGCGTGTTTATTATTTTACACAGTTTTGCCTAAATATTGGAGTTTGGACTAGGATTTTTTTGAACAAACAGAAACTCAAGTTGCTTGGAAGAACCAAAACTATAGAGTCAAGGAAGAAAGAGAGATGGTTGTTTGGACGACGCAATAAGTTTAGATAGTTGAACATTTTATAAGGTTGTTAGAGAAAAACCGTGTATTAAAGAAAACTCAAATTAATACCGTGTTAAACGAATTGCCCTTTTTACACTGTTGCTTTTGTAGAACCGTGTAAAATTTTATGCTGCTTTTTTACACGTTTGCTAGATCTAAACCTGGTATAATGTTTAACATATTTTCCCAGTTCTTAAGTCGCAACCAGGTAAAAAGGTATGCATGAAATTAACCCGTTTTTTGTGCTGAACCGGGTAAAATGGAGACGTGTCACTATCTTTTAATCCGGTTTTGTTATGTTTCGGGTAAAAATGTGGGGGGACTGAATGTCATTTCTGAACTAGTGTTCATACCCTTCTTCCTTGAAACCCTAATTGAAGATCAATTTGGAAAAGTTCTTACAGATCTTACCAATAACTCATTGTATGCTGCATAGTACTGTGGATACCTTGCCCTTGCCCCTCCAAAAGCTTCTTGCCAAGTATCAATAAGAATTAGAATCTTCTCTTTTACGTGAAAATCCGGCTGCAATTCAGCACAATTACGTTCGTTATGAAATAATTTATGATAAGATGGCCATGGTGAATGCTAGAAACCACTAAAACAAGGTTCTAACCTTTTTCTTCACTATTTTAACCATGTCACGGAGCAAATCTCTCTCAGCTACATGCTTATGGACCAAATCTCCGCAGTTCTTAACAATTGTTTCCAATAGCTTAAACATAGTAAACAAGTAAAAGCAATTTCAATTCTTACCCCAAAATAAATGAGGTATGAGGAACATATATGCAGTTTGTTATCCTTAAAAATATTGTAGCATGAAAGCGTACTGTTTTCATTTAATTGTAACGCATCACCTCATACACGAATGAATGGAAACAAAGAGAATATTTCAGTCAACTAAAATACGTTAACAAAACCCAAGGAAATATGGAGGTTTGAATCTTTACTCTTAACAATTAAGGGAACTGAATCATTTTTATAACGAATCAGGATCATAGTTCATAACCTTCGATTCTATTGGGCTACATTAGAATGGGAAGCAATGCCAATTGAAACACAAACATATTTACAAATAGATTGAGAAGGTATGATCTTTTCATGTGCAAGTTCAAAGGTCTCTACATAATCCCTCCCTTTTTTTCATATTTCAATCACATTTACACACACACACACATATATATACACACATATAAATTCAAAAGGTTTCTTTATAAAAGAGGAGTATAAGACATAAGTTAGATGTATATCACAAAGCATATGTATGGTACTTCAATAAGCATGAAAATTTAGTCATCAAGGATCCTTCAGCAAAGAGAAAGTTGCCACTGAAATGTCTAAGACTGTTTACTAGTTGTTTAAACACCCCTAGAATAAACACACCTCATAAGAAAATCACAACCTCATAGCATTACATGCATGAAAGTCATGACTTCCAACAACAACTCTTCCAACTGTAAGGTAGTTTGTAGCTAAATTTACACAAGTGTTTGGTGATTACAAGTCGGGTTAATTAGTTAAGGTGACAAGTTTGGTATTTTGATAATCAAAAGCTTCCATAAACAGGGATTGTGATAAATTTAAAATTATGTTTGATTTGAAAGAAGATTCTAGTATTAAATTAAGAATTTCGGTAGAGATGTTGCCTCTCAAAAGTAGGTCAAGTTCTAGTACTAAATTAAGCATTTTGGGAGAGATGTGCCTCTCAAATGTAGGTCAAGTTTGTTTTTGAATCTTGTCGCTCATTTTTAGTACAATCTTATTCGGTTGTATCAGATTGGTAAGAGAGCAAATGTTCTTGGCAAATGGCAACAAAAGAAAGTGAAATAGTTTTGTGGGAAAATTAGGAATCAAGATTGGACATGTATGAAAATAGTCCACAACAGATACAATAAAACAATGATACTAAATGTTCCAAATCAAGTTGGAATAAAGATAACAAATGCGCAATAGTGGGTCTATGTTGATCATCTCTCATTGATTTGATGATAATCCCTTTTACCTATCGAAGTATATGGTTTCTGCTTATTCAGTTTCAGCGATCATCACTGAGTATGTTTAGTGATCGCTGAAGACGCATTGTAACTCTCCAGTGACTCTTGAAGACAAAACTCACACCAAAGAACCTTCAGCAATGTCGAAGACAGAAACTGAAGATTAGAGACTAGCGCGTTCCTGATCTGACGCAGCATTCAGTGATTACAAACTAGCCAACATATGTGTGAAGACGGCACAATTTTCAGCGAATGCTAAAGAGACCTCCAGCGTCATCCCAACATTCAGCGATCAAATGAAGTTTATCATGCACGTTTGTTTTTGTCTTGTCCTTCTACACACTAAGGACAAACCCATACATTTTCTAGAGTATAGTACTCTAATGCTAACCAACTCTGTGAAAAGATGTCTACTCAAGAATAGACAAAAGGACTATTCATTGTAGCAAAGGACAAGCTTTCCTCCAAAAGCATGGCACATGGTGTGTACCTTCTGAATTGCATTTAATGCAATGGGTATAAATAGCTAAGTATTCTCTACTCAGTGATATCATTTTCCTCACTCTAAGAAGCTTACCTAAGAGTTACTTCTCTCACTACTCTCTCTCTAAAGAGAAAGAACCACTTTGAACAAGTGAAGAACACATTTCCAAGTCTATATATCTTACAACAAATCTTTTATCTTTGCTAAGTGTATTTGTGTGTATCTCTAGATTGTTTAGATAGGTTTCTTTACTTTATCTTTTCCGCAAACAACCTGTAAAATTTGTATTGATCCTTCAACCAATATATAAATTTAAAAGTGAAAGTTTATGTGTTTGTATTCACCCCCCCCCCTCCCCTACAAACTGTTACCTATAAACTCTTGTAGATCCAGCTGGACCTACAAGTGGTATCAGAGCAGCATTTATAATTTTTCCTTTACAAATGGCTTTACAAAACACTAGCACTCACTTTCACAACAATGGCTCTCTTACCAAACCTCCCCATTTCAAAAGAGACAACTTCAGTCTCTGGAAGAATCGGATGTCTCTCTTCTTGGAAGGTGTGGATCCTGAGATTCCATATTATATAGGAAAATGGACCCTATGTTCTCTCCGTTTATACAGCTACTACGACTGCCGCGATTCCTGAACGGCAGATTCCAAAGCTCCCTCATCAATGGAGTGATGAAGACAAGAAGAAGATGGCTTTAGACACTCGTGTGAGGTCTATAATAGCCATGTCCCTTCCTGACGAGGTATATCACTTTGTGATGAAGCACAAAACCTCAAAATCCATGTGGGACACTCTATGTGTTCAATATGAAGGTACTACTGAAGTACAATAATCGAGGAAGATTAATTTAGTAACATAATATGAAAGCTTTCTCTGTGGCAAGAATGAATCGTTGTCTGAAGTACATCAAAGTTTTAATTGTCTTCTTATCGATTTGAGGACAGTTTGAAGAGAATATTCCAACTCTGAGACTCTAACCAAGTTTCTTGAATGCTTGCCAAAATCATAGGATCAATATACCATGTGTCTCAAGATGTCCAAGGACATGTCCTCCCTCTCTCCTAGCTCTCTTTATGGGATACTACTCAATCATGAGCAATCTCGTCAGCTGAAGAAGAATCTTCTTAAAGATTCTAGAGAAATGAAAAGCTCTTCATTAGCTTTGATCTCTGAAGGTTCTTCAGCTGACCCTTCTAATTCTTCTAACCCTCCTATTTATTATATTTCTTTAACTGAGTTAGATCCTACTAACTCTGAGGAATTTTCAGATCCTGATCTTTCAGAGTTTGATGAGTCACTCGCCCTTCTAACCAAATCTTTTAGAAGGTTTGCCAGAAAGATAATTTCCACAGATCTCCTGACCATTTCTGAAAAGCCAAAGTCAAATCCTATTGACAAGGCTTCAGCGATTTGCTACAACTATCAATGCAAAGGTCACTTTGCAAGTGAATGCAAGTCTAAGAAGATTGTGACGCCATCTTCCAAACCCCTATCTTCCTTCAGTCCAGAGATGACAAATATCCAAAGCTGAAGGAGAAGTATAAGAAGATGAAGAGTTCTCAGCGTAAAGACAAAGGTCTAATCGCTGAAGAACATGACCGGGGTGATTCTACTGAAGAGTCATCCTCTGATGAGGAAGATACGGCCTATCTCTGTCTAATGGCCAAGGATATCAAAGATGAACCATTAGAGACATCATCCTCCAGTGATCCCTCATCATCTACTCAGGTATGTTCCCTGAATGAACCTTCTTCTTTTGTCACTGATAGCCTATAAGCGCTAGATACACTGACGGTTGACCTTTACAATGCCCTGAATGGCAAATCCAAAGCAGAAATGCTTAATCTTGATCTTCAAGAACAGTTAGAGATATGTCATTCTAAGATCAAAGAGCTGACTAAGATTGAAGAAAATCTTAAGAATCAGGTCATTGTAAACCAAACCATTAGCATCAAACATGAACATGCTATAGCTGAGCGTGAGCAAGCTATTGTTGAACTCAAGGCTGAGAAACCAGAGTAAAAATTCCTCTTCATACCTCTGGTTGTGGTGAGTTCGACTTCCTCACAGAAGCTGAAAGAAAGGAAACACTCAAGGCCGAGGAAGAACTTCGCATTCAACGTCAATAGATTGAAGACAACCTCAAGTTGGCCAAATCACTCGCTGTTAAAGCTCTTCCTAAAGGAAAGTCGAAGAAGATGAACCCTGGCAAGGCTTAGGCTCAGCTGCTCTCAAATGCTAAAAATGAACATCAGAGAGCACTGGCGTTAAGGGACTGCGACAAGAGATGGAGTGAAGATCGCTTTAAGAAAAGAATAAGTCCCCATCGCATTCCAAACGTCACAATCAACGGACGGATGAAAGATGGAGGAACACTCATCTCTATGGTCATCACCAGAGACAACCTTGATGTAGTCACTGAATATCCTTCTTACCTTGGTCAATATGGCTATAGTGAATGGCTGAAAATACGCCAAACCATTTAGCGCTCAAAGTCAAGGCACAAGCTGATTATCGGAGACATCCTCAACGATCTTATCAAGAAGATGTCCAGGTATGTTGTTGTTCCTTCAGTGCCAGCATTGATGCCAAGTAGAAGAAGAAAACCTTTAGATCCTAATGATGGACCAACTCTGAGGAATGAACACGAAACTAAGTTCTCCTTAGAGGAAATCCTAAAGGACTTGAAGAAGCCAGATATCTCTATGTTGAACCTCACTCTGCCAGAAGAGTCCTTATACACCCAACACTATGCACTTCAAGCCTGAGTATGGATTTATATTCATTAACTATGATGGCGAGTACACCTTTCAAAGAGTATCTGAGTACTGTCTCTATCCAATAGAACACCTTGAATTTCTAAGATCTTGGTTGGACAATGACCTCAATGGTGAGACGATGGACCGCAGGATCAGAAAGAAATATCTACGTCGAAAGAAGCTTGGAAAAGAAGTACCTGACTACATCAACTTCAGCGACTTAGAATAGCTAAAACTTTCTATCTTGTAAATCTTGTTTTCTTTATCTTTTCTTTCAATGTACAACTTATACGTAATAGGCCCAGAACTTACTGTTGTAACACTTGTATCTTTCCCATGAGTAATATAAGTATTTTTTCCAGTATTACTGAAAAAGATCCCTGAAAAAAGTAATAGGGACATGTATCTATGAGTTCCAGTTTACTCTTATATTCACTGACAACTTTCAGTCACTAAATATGTTTTCAGTTTCAGTTATCAAACTTGTACTTGTTTCTTTTAAACTTGTAATTCTTTACAACTTAAGAAAACTTATATAAGAAAACTGTATCACTGAAAAAATCCCAAATAGTTAAAAAGGGACTTGTACTTTACTTGTAACTTTTCATTACTATTGTATCTTAGGCAATTTTCTTTATGTTGCTTTGTCATCATCAAATAGGAGGAGATTGTTGATCCTCTCTCATTGATTTGATGATAATCCCTTTTACCTATCGAAGTATAGTGTTTCTGCTTATTCAGTTTCAGCGATCATCACTGAGTCTGTTCAGTGATCGCTGAACATGCATTGTAACTCTCCAATGACTCTTATACTTCAAGAAGACAAAAGTCACACCAAAGAACCTTCAGCAATGTCGACGACAGAAACTGCAGATTAGAGACTAGCACGTTCGTGATCTGAAGCAGCATTTAGTGATTACAAACTAGTCAACATATGTGTGAAGACGGCACAAGTTTCAGCAAATGCTGAAGAGACCTCCAGGATCAAATAAAGCTTATCATGCACGTTTGTTTTTTGTGTTGTCCTTCCACACACTAAGGACAAACCTATACATTGTTTAGAGTATAGTACTGTACGGAGCCACCCAGTTGACTCTAGTGTTCACCAACTCTGTGAAAAGATGTTTGCTCATGAATAGACAAAAGGACTATTCACTGTAGCAAAGGACAAGCTTTCCTCCAAAAGCATGACACGTGTTGTGCACCTTCTGAATTGCATTTAATGCAACCTGTATAAATAGTTGAGTGTTCTCTGCTTAGTTATATCATCTTCCTCACTCTAAGAAGCTTACCCAAGAAGTTGTTTCTCTCACTACTCTCTCTCTAAAGAGAAAGAACCACTTTGAATAAGTGAAGAACACATATTTCCAAAGTCTTTATTTCTTACAGCAAATCTTTTCTCTTTGGCTAAATGTATTTTTATGTATCTCTAGATTGTTCAGATAGGTTTTTTTTTACCTTATCTTTTCCGCAAACAAT